ATCAGGCCCCAGAAATTTTCCACGCACATATCGGGATTTATAAAAAATAAACTAGGCGTAAATATGTGCACACTGTACGGACACTCTAGACCATCCGTACGCACTCTTTTACTGGAGTGAGCGAAATAAGGAAGCAAACAGAAAGATTTTAAAGTCTGTTATACATTTGACATACACAGTTCGATTAAATATGACACTCTTAATAATGAAGTTAAGCACTGAAATTTCATGAAATTATAATCCAGAAATTACAATTTTTATATGAATTGAAACATAAATATTTGCAGAGGATGTGCTGCTTTCGAACAATTTTCCTGTGGTAGGCTATGCGATTAAATGTTTTAATCACTGCGAGGATTGCTTGGCGTATGACAATTCCACTTTAAATTGTGTTCTAAATTGCAAAACTCATGTTCTGAGAAAATACTTTTGCACGAATAATGATCATTGATGTGAACTTGACTTTGTCTGATGGCTTTGGAACATAGGCGTTAATGACAGACATAAGGATGCGCTCGTTGATCAAACAGTCCATTGGCTGGTTTGAACAGGTCCGATGACAGTAGAACTGTTCTCAGGTGTCGCGCACAGACAGTATCCTAATGATAACCCCTTTCGTGCTCTTCCCAATATTCTGACAAACACCATATTTAAAGGATAGAATTTGAAGGAAACTCTAAGATATGCGCATTTTGTTTTCAAAATGTTTTGTTATTGATGCGGTGAGTCAGATAGCTATTTACACAGCAACAAAAAAAAAAACAAGGCCTATCTCTTTCCATTACTATGCTATAAACATTCTAAAATATATGTTTACCTTTTAGGCAAATTGCATAAATTAGAATAGTGATGTCTCAAAACACATTTATAGTCCGTATCTCATATTTTCCTAAAGTGTTGTAGGCTACCCTTAACTGCATTAAACATGGTGTCACGTGGATGGAAATATGCATGGAAATGATATGCAGATGACGTTATGCATATTAAAACTAGGCGTTGTAAGCTCCATAAATGGCTATTTTGGGGAGGAGACGGGGTGGAGATTCATGTACGCACAATCTTCCGCTGACTGGGTATTATTACAAAGGGAATTTTGCGCAGGTTCTGGCGTATGCATGGCTTTATAAATCTAAAAACTTATGTACGTACGCAAAATCTAGCTTTTGTGCGTAAGCACACATTTAGGATGAAATCTACGTAAAGTTTTATACATGAGGCCCCTGGTCTTTATTTTCCTCAAAACAATTGGTCCCCCCCAATGTTCTAGACATTATTACGGCTTTGTTTGGTATAAATAATAATAAATAAAAACGTAGTTAAAAAATCACCAGTGTAGAAACAACGATCCAGAGAAAGGGAACAAAGAGGGCAGTTTTTTTACTATTCAGTAAAGAAAAACATTTATTTTGTTGCGAAAGTTAATTTTATTCTATGGTTCGCTATAGGCTGCCCATGAAAGCATTATATTGCTATTTTTTCAGTGTACATATATCAACAAAACTGCAATAAGTTGCATAGTTAAAATAACAATATATACGGTCTAAATATCTAGACTGTATCCCACCCACTCCCCACCCTCCACAAAAAAAAAAAGTGCCCACTATAACTACCAGCCCACCCTTCTATAGTGCTCAAGAACCGGGCCTGGTTATTATTTGACCTAACGGGGCGTCTACACCGGATGCGAGCGATGCGATCAAAGAACTCGTTAAGAACGAGGCATGTGACGCGTCACGTCGCGCCGGATCCAGTGTGTGTTATATGCTCTCCTACTTGTAAGTCGCTTTGGATAAAAGCGTCTGCTAATGAGTAAATGTAAATATGGACAGCATAACTGATTATTGGGTTCTTTTGTCGTGTTGCGCCACTCGCGTACGGAGTAGAATAAAGCAAAGTTTGCGCCGAATACTTATCTCATCATACTTATTCATATTTTAGTACTTGAATTAATTCCAGCTATGTTCTTCACTTGAACTGGTCTGTAGGAAAGGCAGGCTGAAAGAAGTGAATTGTCTATTTTAAGGCAGTTTTTTTTTTTAATTGGGACTACTTGCCAATGTTTTAAGGAATGAAACATTATATATATATATATATATATATATATTGTACATAACAATGTTACATAATTTGAACATAACAATGTTCAAATTGTTAAATAAAATTTAAAAAGTTATTTTTAATTTAGGGTTAGAGTTTATGAGTATTAAACACGGCAATTGGTATTCTATATACATTATATGAAGATGAATGTACTTACTTTGTGCATTATGTACATAATTTGTTTGGCCGTTGAGGGTCACATCACCTGACAGCTGTCCCCCCACTTTTAAAATGGCTGCTACGCCTCTACAACAGAGCTCCCCTCCTCCCCACATAACATATCCCCTGTATGTATGTATTTATGAAGCTACTGACCAACTGGCCAGAATCTGTCTATAAGAATATATCAGAGAGACTCACACTGGGTTGCTGAAAACATTTGAAGAAACATTTCCAACCCGAATCTCTGCCCCGTTTATCCTGCTTTCACAGCAGTCACGTCTGTTAGTGATGGTCGCTCTGTTCACGCTGTACGTCTTCATCAGATCCAGCTTCCACCACGGGTCACTCTGTAACTCTGTATTAGTACAGGTGTATCTTTTCCCATCCAGAGCATTTTGGGCATACCAGTTGTAATATGATGTCGACTGATCGGCTGTTCCCCATGTTGCTATGTTCACTGGAATAAGTTCAAGAGAAAACCTTATTTACAATTGCAATTATTTTTTACAAATATTTATAGTCCTGCCGGGCTATTTAAGTCCATGAGTTTTCATCGTGTGTCTGAAAATGTTTCACAGCAGCACAAACTCACTAACAAAAGATGAAATAGTGTTTAATTCACAAAATCTCACCTTCTTTTCCTGCCTTCGTTTGAACCGAGAAAAAGCCTTGAAATGAGAAACACAGAATGATGCTTAGTATTTAGAAATGTAAATGATTTTTTCTTATGATTATAAACCTGCATTTTGTTAGATTTATACTTTAAAAATATTTGCCAGTTGTGCAAAATTCATTATGATTTCTAAAATCTTGTATTAATGTCTTACGTAATTAGCTTCTCAAGAAAAAGTCAAATGTTTAAAGGTATTTAGATAACAATAAAGAACAACACATTCAATTATAATTGAGGCTCTTCTGTTAAGTGTTTCTCTGTCTGAAAGATGAAGCTGAAAGCAAACTGAAGGTTATTAAGATATTAAACAGATTGTGTTTTACTTACCCAGTAAAAACGACAGACTCTTGTAGAAATCCCTCAAGTTCATTTCAGGTGGTTCGTGATTCTTTCTGCTTTAATTTGAGTAAGTTTGAATTAATGTTGTTCCTGAGAGAAACACATTAGTTTAACTTTACATCAGAGTCACACCATACTGTTTCCCCTCCCACTTACACAGTATTTTGCATCTTTTAGCAACAAAACAAGTGAACACATTTTCACTGAAAATAATAACTTGCAACTTCAACTTTTAGTGATTAATGATATCAAAATGTCAATGCTATTGAAACTGTGGCGGACACTTTTATCTGAAGCAAGTCAGAGGATGAAGTTCATGTTGACATGCTTACATTGAATGTTACATATAAACAGCAATAGCAAAATCCACCAAACTGTTTGTGAGCTGGCCTCTCCTGAGAGAAAACTGAGGGACAATCTTCCTGAACTACATTAAGGTTTGTATTCACTTTTGTATTTAAATTCAGTGCCACCACATTTTTACTTAAACTGTGTCGTTATTCCATGTCGTTCTAACTTGTATGACTTTCTTTCAGTGAAACACCAAGGATGAGGTTTTGAAGTGAATGAGAACTGAAGCTGTCAAGCTCCGAAATAACAAAAAATCATAACGGTGCAACAGAAGTGGTTCATATGAGAGTTTCTCAGTCTAGATCTGTCTTACTGCATGTTGTTGCACCTGCCATGTTTCAATTTGCCTTTTCTTTCCCATCTTATGGAAATCTCAAGATCAACAGACATTTGCATTTTGTTGTTTTATGCATGAAACACTGTCCTGCATCTGGTCTGACATGAGGAGAAGATCTGTTTCTGATGATCTTTAATCTTTAGTTGTTCATATAGCAATGTAGTAAATATTTGCCCCTCTTTGCCATTTGCCTCTACATCTACTGCTGTTCACTTCTTCCTATTCACTTTAGGAGTTTTCTTCGAGTAATTTGCCTAGAAAGCCTGTTCCAAAAAATCATGAACGTGAATGTAAATGTAAATGTAAATGTTCTCAAATTGCTTACTCAGAAGACCACGAGCATGTGAGGAAGCACACTATGATTGCATCTGTACCGGCATCTTGAGTTTTGAACAGCTCATCATGTGTTTTACATTTTTCATGTTTAAGCTCCACCTACATTAATCTGCCACAATTCTTACTTGCTTATTTCTACAAATGTCTGCTCAGTGTTTTTCTTGCCCCTGATGCACTTGTTTGTGCAGTTCGTTTGACTAGGCGTACATTCTTTTGCCTATGTAAATAATGTGGATCTCATTTTTTTGTGGAAAGAAGCTAAGAAAATGACACTTGATAGAGATGAATGAAATGTGACATGCTGATGATCAAAAAGGACCAGTGAGTGTTTGCAATCAGACCAAAAACTATTTTTGGATGATAAACTTTTAAGTTGATCCACTAAAGTATTGGTTTCATTGGCCCACAATGTTTTGTTTTTTTTGTACAGTGCAAGTACTTCATTTTGTGTATTTTTTTAATGCTATTATTGTTCAGAAGATAAAATGTTCAGATGTTTTATAAAAGCAAAATACAAAGAAGAATATAGAATATTTAAATGTGAATATTTATGCCTTCAGTATAGCTCTGCTGATACGTAAATCTAAGATGTTTTTTGGTATTAAACAACAATTCTCCTATTCTCTTCTGTAGAGCATCTGCGTTTTAAGTTTTTCTTTTTATAACGTTTACAAAGCCCTCCTTATGAAAATATTAGAACACTGCAAAAATAGTTTTTTTCTAAGTTGTAAAAAAAAAAGATAGATAAAATTGCATGTTTAATTCAATGTGTTACTTTAAAATTAATTTATGTGAAAACTGTTCCTTCACCATTTTTTTTTCCAGTAAAGGTTGGCAGAAGATTACAGATTGTTGCTTCAGCATCATTTCTTTTATGCAAAAACAAAAAAAAAATACTGTTAATCTATGGCTTTAAAATTATTTGTATATTCATGTAAAGTAAGCGATTTATCTCAGTCTACAATTTGTTGACCCAACATAGTATACTAAAATGAATCAATTAAAAATAAACATTTGTCTTTTGTGGATTTGTTAATGGTTTTTGAGCATGAGAATGCTACACAACCTGTCCATGTTGCATCTGTGTAATTTAGAGTTCTACACGCGAATAGTCGAATATTAGAATATTTTGTTTGCAATAATTATTCGAAAAATAATAATTATCATTAAAAAAAATTATAATTATTTGAATTTCGCTAAGATGTTGCTTTGCTGACTGTAAATGTATGGAGTGGGATTAGTCTCAATAATAATTCACGCAAAAGACAGGATGCACACATGCGAAAAAAACAAATTTCACAAAAACCAATTCACGTGCACAAAATAACAATATATTTTCATAAAATAAATGCAAAACGCAATTCACAGATGTAGGCTACAAATTTTTCTGAATGTTTAAAGGGGTCATATGACGTTGCTAAAATAAAACATTATTTTGTGGATTTGGTTTTATGAAATGTGTTTATGCCGTTTAAGGTTCAAAAAACACATTCTTTTCCACATACTGTACATTATTGTTTCTCCTCTATGCCCCGCCTTTCTGAAACGCGTTGATTTTTACAAAGCTCATCATTTTGAAAAGCGAGGTGTACACTGATTGGCCAGCTATCCAGTGTGTTGTGATTGGCCGAATACCTTAAGCGTGTGACGGAAATGTTACGCCAATAAAGAAAACCAATAAAACCCATTACAAACGAGGCATTTGTAGCATCCAGTGGGGACATAATTACGGATTATAATGACTTATACTGTCTTTTTACGCATTGCGTTGCATCGCACCGTGTAAACATAAAACCATGTCTGCATTTGTGATCGACAACAAGAAACGACAAACAACAAGCGCTATTTTACACTGCTCAAAACTCACGTTTGAATCGTCAGTGGCAAATTCTTTAAATATGAAAACGTACTTACAGGCTGTGAGTCAGCATTATTTGTCAGAAAACTGGCATTGTAGGCTACTCTCCCAGGAACCAGTCCTCGTCCTCCGTAAAATGCGTTGCACACACACGAATATATGGGTTAAACTGTTCTGGAACAGTGTTGTAAATACAACTTAACCACTGATTATTAGTTGTGTCCTCTTTTGGAAGGCCAAACAAAGTAGTTTCGCTTTCACAATGAAACACAGTGTCTCCATGACATGGTGGCGGCGGTGGTAACAATACTACAGCGAGAATCAAAGTTACGCCTTCTTTCTTTGCGTGAACATTTGGGCGGCGTTATGCAAATCTTCCCACACAGTGACGTAGACATGTGGGGGCATGTTTAAACGAGGCGTATTAGGAGGGCGTGAATGAGTCCTAACTTTTATAAAGAATATCTCTTTGGGTTTGAGACTTTAGTCTTTGCAACTTTAGGGATCTTATCTATTCACGAAGAGCTTGTAACACTCCAAAGATAAAGGAAAACTTGAAATCGCATCATATGACCCCTTTAAAATTCACAAGTTTATCATGGACTGTAAATGTGCAAATCGCCATTCGTGTGTGAATCGCCTTGGATTTGTGTGTGCGTATTTTTGAGACTTTCCTGGCAGCGAACTCCTCTCATGCGGGTCAGTCGTACTCCTTAGCCAATCAGATTTAAACCCGTCAATCGACCAATCATAACCAGCTGTGGCCGTAAGAAATGCGTGCCCTGGTACCTACCTGGATGTTACATCAGCAGCGCGAGACCACAGTTCAATTTACGATTGAGGAGAAATATGTGCAGTTGATCATTTGATTTAAGATAACTAGCCTAGTAAAGGTGTGTTGTTTTATTTTTGCATGTTTACTTCAAACTTGGAAGTAAAATCAGTCGTTTAGACACACTTGATAACATGACCATTGTAAACAGCAGCTGCTATGGATACAGATAGTGTTGCCAAAAATCTAGTGTTAGTCACAATGTCCCGTATATTGGCCAAAATGAAGAAGGAATTGTTTACCATTTGTGCAACAGGATGCAGTATTCAATTAATACACAAAGTGTTTATCCGAACTCAACTGGTTTTGTGAGAGAACGCAAAAGTTTTGAGAAACTAAAATAAACAGGTTAAATGACTCAAACCGTGATATACGATTTTGGCCATATTGCCCATCTAAGTCTTTCATCCCACTATCAACAAGTCTTTCATCCCACTATCAACAGGCACGTCATGTGGGCTACGCTTCTTGTATTTGGTTTGGGCACCACAAGGTGTCACTGTGGCCTCAAAGCTTACAACTCACCTACTCTGACTCGATTACTATTCCTGAGGTAAAACACGCCCTCCTAATTACCATATGAACAAAGAAATATAGAAATAAAAATGGAAATAAATAAATATAGAAATAAATACGTAAATAAATACATAAGTGTAGAAATAAATTTATAAATAAATAGAAAAATAAATGTAGAAATGTGCTCATGCGACGTGTGCTCTCGCAGTGCTGTGTAATTCAGAAAACGGAGAAAGAACATTTATATTCTACTTTTATTTCGGTTCATTCAGGTCAGTCCACCCAGGGGTTTTTGTGCACTGTAATTTTGACAACTTTTATCTGCACGAGAGAGTAAAAAAAAATAATTATCAAATGACTAAATTATGATATTTGCTCAGGTGGGTGCTGGGGTCTTATCTATCGGATTGCAACGTATATCCATTTTGTTAATTAAACATTACATATAGTGCGCGTCTAATTAGAGTTAAGCCAGTCGGCGTGGTAGCCCAGGCTAACATAGTCCTAGCCCACTATTGTTAAGAAGGTCGGCGTGGTAGCCAAGGCTCACATAGCCATAGGCCACTATTGTTAAGCCAGTCGGCATGGTAGCCAAGGCTCACATAGTCATAGGCCACTAGTGTTAAGCCGGTCGGCGTGGTAGCCAAGGCTCACATAGTTATAGGCCACTAGTGCTAAGCCGGTCGGCGTGGTAGCCCAGGCACACATAGATCGTAATGCATGCGGTTCACATGGCTCTTCGGAGCAGCAGCAGTACATATGTCTTGGCGATAGATCTGCTTGGTGGGGGATGTTTTGTCTTGCTTTGGTTTGTATTGTCCCTACTAT